CCTGTGATGGGCTGGTGCCCCATCCTGGGTTATTCCCTGCCTCGTGCCCTGTGATGGCCTGGTGCCCCATCCTGGGTTATTCCCTGCCTCGTGCCCTGTGATGGGCTGGTGCTTAGTCATATCATCTTGTTTGTTTGACTCATCTGCCGGCTCCTGGAGGATGGGCTCCCCCTTTGGGTCTGGTTCCTCCCAAGGCTTCTTCCTCTTAGGGAGTTTTTCCTTGCCACCATTGCCTTTGGCTTACTCAATGGGGGGTCCTTACGTGGCCGAAATGTAAAGCGCATTGAGACAGTGTAATGTTGTGATAATGCGCTATATAAATAAAATTGAATTGAATTGAAATTCAGATTGATCCTAGAACAGGCCAACTGCTCCAGACTTATCCCTAAGACAAGAGTAACCGGAAAGAGGTGACAAAGGACAGTATTACCTTGATATGATATTGTTTCTGTGCTCAAAACACTTCTAATGAATGCAAAATGCTATGCCTAGTGCAAATGTTACAGGACTGGCCTCAACTTAGAATACTCTTTGCTTACGCCACCCCATCCGTGATGATAGTATCGTGGTGGAGTCCTGCATATTAGCAGCAGGAACTGAGATGTTTGTCAGTAAAGAAGAAACAAGAGATGGAGTCAAATTCCGGGAAATTCTTGCGGGGAAACTGCTTCATTCTGTAACAAACACAACCCTCCAACACGGATTCATGTTTCAACATTGCAAAAGTCAGGCATTTAAAGACAAAGAGTCCTGGATTCAGGATGTCTTTACAGGCCCAGATAAAGCCTGTGCTTGAAATTTGCAGAACGATTTGAAGATTGTGGCTCAATGACATTCCTCATGTAACCTGAGCAAACCTCCAGTTTTGAAACTGATTAATACATGTTGGGTAAGACAGACTGAAAATGATGCCAAAGTAATCTCTTAGTATTCCCTAAAGGGGTGATATCGGTTCATTGTTTTCGTAAATACATACATTCCTGTAATGCCCTAAAATATTTCAGGCTCAAACATTGTTGAATACATTGTGTAAGTCAACTGAAAAATAATATCATTTCAGTACATCACATCAGTCAAAAAATTCTCAATAATGCTTTCTCCACTAATGCTTTTATCCACTAGATGGCAGCATTTTGGTTTTTCTGCGAGGAAACACAGATAAGAATTGCACTGTACTTTAGTACATCTTGTACTTAATGCATATGACAATAAATCTTAACTCTTGTACCTAGAATGTGCACTTCAATGTACCTGCACTCCATTCAGGTTGTAACCCTACTTTGTGCTGGTTACCTGCCCCCCCAGTCCTGACCGTGATAAGCAGTGAGATGGATGGGTGGACAGACAGATTAAGTGTAAAAATTGTAAGAATGACTGTTAATCATTTTGGCAATATCTTCTTTTTTCATACGGCAGGGTGTCTACTCACAGTCAAATGAACCTGATGACGATTTCCAACTTGGGTGTGATTTTCGGTCCCACACTGATGCGCTCTCAGGAGGAGACGGTGGCAGCTATGATGAATATCAAGTTCCAGAACATAGTGGTGGAAATTTTGATTGAGAATTATGAGAAGGCAAGCGACCGATCATTTGATACTACTGCATGATTCGGGTACTTCTGCTGAAGCTATCCGGGACAGGACGATAATTTGTTTTTTCAAGTTGTTTTCAAAAACCGATATTTCATAATTAATACGTTAAGTGTGCCGTTACATTACCTGTGCCCCCTCAAGTAAAATGTTACCCTTATTTCTTGTAGACCATCTTGACTTAGTATCCCTTACACAGGAATCACATAGTGTTTAGTTTTTGACAAGACATGAAAGATATTTCTCAACAGATGCTAAGGTCTATTACTTGAATCCTGTGTTCACTTTGTCGCAGATCTTTCAGCAGCCTCCGGACCCCAACGTGCCCCTACCTCAACCTCAGTCCCGTTCGAGTTCTCGCCGAACCAAGGCCATCTGCCTGTCCACGGGCCCGCGGAAGCCAAGGGGCCTGTACACGCCGACGCTGTGCCTTGCCGACGCTGATAGTGAGTCAAGCTGCTTCGTTCTTCTGCTGAACGTTGTGTTTCAGAATGGACAAGCGGAAATTCCGGTTTTCTCCTTCTAAGAGGAATCGGGGTTGACGGTGCTCTTTCCTGACGCCCCCAGGTGATACGTTCAGCAGCAGCCCTAGCAGTACCCCTATGGGCAGCATCGAGTCGCTGTCCTCACACTCCTCAGAGCAGAACAGCTTCTCCAAACGGGGCCCCTCCAACCTGCCGAAGCATAAGTCCAAAGGCAGTCTGTGCTGGACTCCATCCCAGGTGTCCTCCAACGGGCCGAAGAGCTCCACCTACACCACCAGCCCGGACTCCAGCTCCAAGGAGGATGCAGCCAAGACAGATGGGGAGTCTGAGGACACCCAGAGTCTGTCCTCTGTTACCACGGCTGGGAGGCGCTCTCCTGCACTGGACCTGGCTGAGAAAGCCCCTCAGGACCTGCCAGACAGCAAAACCCCAGAACTGAACCGCTCAGCTGCACCGTCGCTCAGGTCGTTGCATATCTCTGAAGGTAACCTCCGCATTTCAGATTCTTGACCCCCTACTGCATGCCTGCGTACCTTTTGCCCCCATTCCCCAGGTTATCATAACAGCGCCATCGCTCATGATCTTCGCACAAAAACCAGACCCACATCTTCAGATCACTGCATAAATCTTATGATTGAACCAATAACTGTTTATGGTCAATGTGAAATCAGTTTATGGTCTATGTGAAATGTTTAGGGGGTTATGCTTTCCCATTGCATGGTTCTGTTTATACACTCTGGTTGACTGTAACTGCTTAACACTTTAGGGGGCACAAATAATGTAGTAATACACTCTTACTTAATGTATTAATTAACCAGTAACTAAGTCTTAGTTACATATTGATCCTATGTTCATTCACCATTAATCAACCATAACAGTTCATGTATTTCATTCAGTTACTGTATTTGTTTATGGTTTGTACTTGAGTAGTAACTGAGTTACTAAGGTACTTGTGCCCCCTCAAGTAAAGTGTTACCAAGTAAAGCATCAATACCAATTTTGCAGTCTTTAAAACCATTTTTTAAAAATCTTTACTCTTTGGTTTTGGTTTAATTTTAAGGAATCGGGAGGCACAATTGAAGGAAATTGCATTGCTTTGTGGTTAATTTTGTAAATATATATATATATAATTTTAAAAATGCACCAGTGATTTTTTTTTTCTTTTTTTCACTGCTGTTCCTAAACTGGACCATTCTTTCGTTCAGGTCAGAGAAGCCATAGTGGTTCCTTCCAGAGTCTGGCATCCTTGCACCAGACGGACACTCCAGCATCCCAGAGCAACCCAGACTTACCCCCCAAACTGACCTTGCGGCGCAGACCGGAAGCCTCCACCAGTAACGGCTATCAGAGGCCTGGATCAATGTAAGCAAATGCGGTATCACAGGGAATCTCTGACTCCCATCCGGCAGACGCCCACCTATTGCCATACCAAGCATTTTTCCTTCTGATTACTGTCCTGGCAGATCGCAAATCCCAGTTAATTGCTGTTTGAGTCAAATTAATGAAATGTTGCAATCGGCTAGCGGTCCCAGCCGATGTGGAGTCCTGGTCGGTCATGACCCCCTGTCAAAGGAGTCTGGCTGGCAAGTCGGCGCCCCCTCAGAATTCGGCACCCTAGGCAGCCGCCTATGTCGCCTATAGGAATGACTGGCCCTAATTGCAAATTTATAAATTTAATCAGTGTGCTGCTTGCTGTTGTCCAATAATACCACGTAGCTTAATTGATGAACCTGCACATCTGTTGAGCAGAGGTGGAAAGTTCAGGTTTAGAAAGTACCAATCCAGACCACGTTTTTTGTTTCAACCAGCCAGTTGAGCATGAAGAGTCAGTCATAGAGTATTCAGCTGTTTAGTTGAAACAAAATCTTGGTCTGGATTTGTACTTTCTGGACTTGAATTTCCACCTTTGTTGTTGAGAGCATTGTGTTGTAAATGATGGTGGCTTGGCCTGTTGACCTGTGTATGCTGTTGTCTTCCAGAGTTGCTGCAAAAGCAATGCTTTTCGAAAAGTCAACTTCCCCACAGCCCCCTGAAGCTGGCAGGTAGGTGGTATATTCACATCTGCCCTTCTGTTCACTGTCGTCTTTTTCATGATTTAAAACAAAGCATAATTACTTCAGCCGTGTTTATGAATTTCATTTTAACTCCAATTAATGTTTCTTTTTGTACGAAGAAATATGCAGTACTTTCCAAATACATCTGAAGCTTTCTTTTTAGTATAGCTATCACTGTGAAATGTAATTGTAGTACTCCAAAAGATGAAATACTAACATTCAAAATAAAATATTAAATTAGCATACTTGTATCTGTTAGTGCAGAGACCACAGATATGAATGGTTGCACTCATTTGTGCAGGTCTGTTATTAAAAGGAAGGTCTTGCACATTCCTGCAATCCTCTTTTCACTTCACACTTCAGGGATGCAAAGGCGATGTACTCCTGCAAGGCAGAACACAGCCATGAACTAAGCTTTCCCCAGGGGGCGCTATTCACAAACGGTATGTCACCACAATCTTCATCAGCTTCTTTGTTGTGGGAAGATTTACCAGATAAAGCTTTAATTATAAGTGCTCTGTGACCTATCTGAGCTGGGCGGAATATCCATAATTTAAATATCATTTTGTTAATATACCATGAGGTATCTTCTGAGTACATATAATATTAAATGAACTTAATATGAACGATATAATCTTTTGTCAACAAAATATAAAATTTGGCATGAGGTCAAAAAAAGTTATCTGGATAAACAATAGGATGGTTTATTGTCATTAATAAAACTATATTTCATTAGGTTTGAGGTCATGAAAGACAAAGTTTTTTTTTGTGATCAAATTTTTAACAATTTTAACATAGAACAAAACACAACAACCCCCTCCCCCATACCCTGCGACAGCACGTAAGCAAAAAGAAAAAAAAATCTGGGAAAATCAAGACGAAACAGAGTAAAAAAAACAAACAGTTTTATTTTTTTACAGTCATATATATTCAAAGACAAAGCAGAATGCAGTCCCAATTCGGTAGAGAATCTATATATATCACATCGCCCTTATAAGAACATCAGGATGAATGAAGATTTCATTGCATAGTATTCTCATTTCCCAGAGTCCAGTTAGAAATCCAATAAAAACAGAAATGTAGCATTTTTTTGTATAATCGTAATTGAAACATGCTTATTTCGGGTTTCACTGAAGTCTTATGCATTCATCATTAATGTCGTTACCTCTTGAATCTCAGTGCTTCTAGTGCATACAGTTTAGGAAAAGATGGGGAGTGGATCTCTGAACCATCATCTATTAGCTCTATATTCTTTGTTTTCTGTTCCTCTGGTGAAAACATAGAAAAAGCATTGAGTATTATGGAATTACATATTACATGCCGTCTCATTTGTTTGGTGAGTCGCATCATAGCTAACTTTGGTTCTTTCAAAATTTCTTATTTGAATAATTGCAATGAACAGTACAGCCAGAACATTTGTCTGCCATCAAAGAGATCATCGTCCTGTGAAATGCATACATTTTGATTTAATAGCATTATATCTTTGTTGTTTTATTTGTTTGTTTATTTCTGGCTGATTTCCATACAGTACATCCTTCTGTGGAACCTGGCTGGCTCCAAGCAACCTATGAAGGAAAAACGGGGCTCATCCCTGAGAATTATGTTGTCTACCTCTGACAAGTTCTGAAGACAGAGCCAGTACATTTCATGGTATCCATGTTATCAGTTCCCTGTAAACGAGCATTGCAAGATCAGCTTCACATTTGCACGACTGCTCTTTTGAAACAGTGCATAGCTAATATGCAATAAAAGTCAAAACCTCACCAGCAGAGTAAATTCATTTGCTAACAGTTTGTTTCAGATGGATATTTTAATTTATGAAACCATATGAAATTAAAGATTTGTTAATTATTGCAATGATTACATTTTTAAATGGAGATATTGTTAATATTATACACCTCAAATCTGACCTCAGATTTTCATGTATTTGACTGATTGTAGAAACATTTCGTATTCGATATATAAATATTTTCCACCTGAAAGAGATTAATTGTACAGTAAGCTATTACTGTAATTTTGTTTCATTCATGCATTCTTAGTGAGCCTTGTGAGACGTATGCGGTAGCCGCTAAAGATGGAAGCGCTTGCTGCTTCCTCTCGATCAGTCCATACACCTCTGACAAGGCTCCGAAATCACATTCATGTCGGGCACGAGCAACTTTGTCATCTGCATCACACCTATCCGTATAAATGAGTATTTGAGTGGAGATTCATTTTGTTGGGATGACATGCTGTAGAACAGGGTTATTCAACTCACGGTCCTCAAGGTCCGAGCACTGCTGGTTTTCCAGCCTTCCTTTACCTGTCAGTCAGGTGTGAAGCCTCTGACCAATCAGAATCAGTAATTATTAAACAACTACCTGGGAGAACTGAAAACACGGCCTGGATTTGGAATCGAGGTCCAGAGTTGAAGAACCCTGCTGTAGAATGTGTTTCTCAATGTTTTTGCACCACAACCCAATTTTTACCATGCCAGCTCAGTCGCAAACCTATATCAAGTATAGGTCTAAATGAACACTATGATCAAGCACGCAGTGCACTCTGCAATTTACAACAATCAATGCCTATCGCACAAATCTGATTGGATGTGCTGGTGAATTTTAAATTAAGCAATTATGGTTTGGCTCTTTGGATTGGTTGAGTGTTCACTAGTTTCGTGCTAAGCATTTGCAGAACCAAGACCCATTTTTATAGGCTAATTCTAGGATTGGGGCTGGGAAATCTGACCGTAGATCAGCATAGGAGCTTGCTGGTTTTAAAATGCTTACATTTCCAGCCTTGCCTCGCAACCCTGTCAGAACTTGCTGTGACCCAAATTTGGCTCACAACCCAGGGGTTGAGAATCGCTGCTGTAGTAGCTTTAAAAAGTTGGTGTGTGTGTCTGTGTTTCTGTGTGTGTCTGTGTGTCTGCGTTCACCATATACACAACAAAAATAGAACAGACTGAGATGTAGTGTAAAAAAATGGCAGATGTTACAGTGCACTTTTAACAAACACTGAGGTACGCCGTATATCCAGATTTTTTTCATCCCTTCGTGTGTTCTGTGCTCAGAAACATGACCAATAGTTAAATCCCTATGGTGACTAAATGTACCATATAAATGAAAGGTTAATATTTAAGTGATTTTTTTTTTGTGTTGCCAAGTAAAGTTCAAACGTTCCTGTATAAACATGCTATCAATACAGTATTTTTTTCCAGATTTTTTCAGCTGAAGGGCATTATTGTGCATTATCCTTGTTCGGTTCATCACTGATCATTTTATGTTGTTATACCTGCCAGAGGCCTGTTGAATTGGATTAATGGACATCAATTCAGTGTACAGAACGCATATATTGTTAACATCCCTGCTACATGTGTTGTATCGTTTTTCTTCTTTCTTTGTTCAGTAACTTTATTTTAGTAGTGCACTGGTGCGCTACATTGTGCATATGGCATCATAGCAAGTAGCATATAATGTAATAAATATTGATCATTAAATACTGAATATGTAGTTTAGCTGTAAAATGTATGTAAGTGTAGGTAGTAAACTGAAGCAGGTGGTATACCAGCCTACGTATCAGTATGTAAAATGTTTTCTATTTATATATTTCTTTCTTTTATCAACATGTACCCATTTTGAAGAGGTATAGAAATCTTGCTTTTTTGTTTTACAAGTATTAATAAACTGTCCATGGTGATTTTATTATTTTAAAAACTGGTATTATTGTAAAAATGTAATAATTGTTGTGATTGTTAGATGTCATAATAATGTTAATATTTTTACTGCATGTTCAACCCCCCATAAATTTTTGGCAAACAGTCCTCAGTGTACTAAGTATAAAAGAGATAAGATGTCACATGGTCTGCTTTCTGTTATTCCTTTATTTAAAATGAACTTTCACAAACCCAAGGAAGACCAAGAATCCACCACTGCATCTGGCATCCAGATCTTGCTTATTAAGACCCAGTGAGAATGTACAATAAACTTTATGAATGATGTACAGTACCTCATCGGTTCAGCTTGGTGGCGTGTGACAAAAATGTGACAGTTTTAAGGAAGTCAGTCAAACAGTACTCTTAGAAAATGTGAATAAACAAATTGATAAATATAATTAATAGTAAAAACAAAAAACATGCATCTTGCAACTGCAAAAATATGCTAATTTACTTTTACAAACTAATTTTCATCAGTCGACTGACTGTCCAGAATACTTTCATTGTAAAGTCTTTCTCCTGAAATATGTCTTGAATAGCCACACAGCACAAAGTATTCATTTTCATGACTTTTGTTATATCTTATTCCATTATAGCAGGGGTAGCATCAATCTTGCACCACAAAAATGTACATTTCTGTGGTAAGAAAATAAAAAAATCATTTATGTACCTTTTATAATACAGAACATATTAAATTAACATTGTAATCCTCAAACTCAAAACCCAAAATTTTAAGTATATTCAAAGAATTGTTTTTGAATTTCTAAAATCTTAGTTTAAAAATTACATGAACATGCCACAATGTTAAAGTTGTGTTTTCATGTGGTGTTTTCAAATGACAATTTTCACAGAAGGACTTCACTGAAAGTGTAGTTAAATGTACTTTATATAGAATCATTAGAATTTAACGATGTCTGCAATGAATTTGAGTTTTATATATTTGCATGCACTTCTTTTTGGGTTCTTCCTTTACATATTTTAAAAAGAAAATGGACCAGAGTTTTAAAAATGGTTTCAAGACATCTGTACTCTCTCCATCTAGGGTGTAGATTTGGGTTTAGATGGTTAGAACATATCATTGCCAATATTATGGTAGTGCCGTGTGTTTAGGGGGCCGGGGGTGTCTGAGACTGATTTGGTCCCTACCGGTGTTGAAACCAAACCTACTGACTTGTTCATATTAAACATTTAAATACTTTAAGTTTTGTTTGCTAACATAGCTGCATTTTGTAAATGCCCCTGGAACACAGAAAGGGAGTGTGATGCATATTTAAAAGCCTCTTAGATGACCCTAAACATTCTGAAGGAGCGACCCAAACTGCTGATCTCCATGCTGCACCCTGTATATAACAGACAGTCTACCTGTTACCAGTAATATTTGACATCTTCTTTTTTCATGACTCTTTCAGCTTCTTTAAACTTTGCATTAGAATCCTCCCCCATACATGAGATTCACCCGGGAGCTACAGTCCTACATAAATTTACCTTTCCTGGTTAAATTTCTTAAGGTGCTATTAAAGAAATTTTATATTTCTATTTTTAAATAGCATTCTTCAGATGTTCTAGTTTGGCTAGAAAATAGTTCCTACAATAAACTGCTCACTACAAAGTCTGTGTATTATCTTGAGTTACCAGGTCATGATTTCCGGTAAGAGACATTGCTGTTGTATCTTCTGAAAGTATTTCTGGCGCTTTAATCACCACAGAAAGATGCCAGTCAGTCCCATTATTTTCGAGAAGAGCCTGACATTTCCGCTGCTCATATCTCCACAACTGGGCAGCTCCCAGCAGAACAGCCTAGATGGACAGATAGCACTAAGTCCACTATAAAACATATCTTATTTTCAGTATTGGGGTGAACTGCCCTTTTAAATATCAGCAAATTACATAACCTGTGGTGTTAGTTAGTGGTCTGTTTCTGGTGAGGCATATTATTTACTTTTATAACTATTGATGAAACACATTTGTATACATCTGTCTTGCCAGAAACTAACCCTAAGCAGCACATCACTAAACTGTTTAACCAACTGAATATTTACTTTAGGCCAGATGTCAACTTTCTTAAACCTAATAAAAGATTAAAAATGACTATTAACCCAAAACTTGTAAACATGAAACTGTAAAGCTTGGTTCATAACCTATACAGACAGATTTTTTTTTCCCCAAAATATACTTTCCACATTAAAATATTCAGTGAGTAGTTAAAGCAATTTACATAGTATCTGCCTCTTTTGAACAGATAAAGTGAGGAAGGATACATGATAAGTGACCTTTGCTTTTATACTAATACTTTTTTTATACCTATACTTTGGAATACATAATATTACAGGAACAGTGTCTGGTCAAATTTCACATTATTATTCAAAACAAAAAGCTTTTTTCAACCTTAAATTTCAGTAAAAATGAAATGCAGGAAAATAAGTAAATATATCCCAGTGGAAGGAAGACTAGGAACCAACCCTCAGTGGTATTTGGAAGTTTAGCAGAATGCAGGCCACCCTGTGCCATGCTGGTCTCCATACGAAGGAAGTTCTGCATACTGAAGATGCTCAGAAATTTTTGGGCACAGTAGACAGTTTCTCTTCCAGTCTTCTAATAATGTTCTCGAAGTCTCTCGTGCTGTACGGCTTCTCTTCTAGGAGCTCGTAACGTAAACTGCAGATGTCCTGTTTGATCTCTTTGAGTTCTCCTGTTAAAAAAAAAAAAAAAAAAGTTCAGCAATTTAGGAATGTCGGACAGAATTTGTGTGTTGTATAACATAAAATTAAGAATGTCCATTGAAAACTATAAAATGCATACCTTCATTTACATCATCACTTTCTTTATCAGTTTGTGCCTTGAGAACGTATCGTTTTATGAGACGCGTCATTATCTTCTGTGGAACAAAAAGCATTTTCCAATTACATTTGTATAATATTACAATCTTGACATTAGCGTTATCTATGAAATATTTTTACCATACAGTGCAAACTGGTTGAGCTTGAAAAATGTCACAAGGCTGAATCTATGTAAATAATTCCTTGTACAGTTTAGCAATTGCCCTGAATCAGAATTCATACTAAACTGGAAGATAAGACTAGTTTTTGAATTGTGTGTACAAATGAGTTGTGTGAATACATGGCTTCATTCTCACATAATGAATGTCTTCCTTTGTTTCTCAGCACTCAATGGAAGACATTCCATAGAAAGCTATGGTACAGAACCAAAAGTGGGCTATTTTGCTATTGATCACCTGTGTTACAATCTACAGGCCCTCAGTTAATATTCTGGTTAAGGTGAATTCATGAACATGGCAAATATAACATGATCCTATAAATGCAAAAAATAAAAATAAAATTCACATAAAAGATTATATTTACCTGATACCGGTTTAGAGATGGAGAGGCTCCATCGTTTTTTTTACCTTGCTGGATTACACAAGGAAAACATTCAGAACTATCACAGAAGATTTTTTTTTCCACTGAGATCCCAACAGTGAATATCATGAACTTTCACATTCACAATTCTCATCTTTCAAAAATGTTATGTATTTCAAGAATAGGCCTTCTGAGTACATTATAGGCTTTCTGAGTACTTTATAGGCTTTCTGAGTACATTATAGGCTTTCTGAGTACTTCATAGGCTTTCTGAGTACTTCATAGGCTTTCTATCTCTGCCTTGTGCCTCATACCGCCTTGGATAGGCTACAGAATATACTAATAATATTTGGATTGTATTGTATTTTATCAGAAACTGCATGCAGATTAAAAGAGGAAGTGGAATTATGTGACATCCACTAATGGAAGGACATCAGCACTTTGTACACAGGAACATTTCTCAGATATAAACAGACTTGGCTAAAATAGCATAACAATGGTTCTGGATGCCTTATGAATGTAAATGGACTGTCTGAAAGTTGACTTAATGTGATAAGAGGCACTTTGTGCTGACGTACTTTTTACTTTCTGCATTACATGTAACACTATGGCCAATGTATCATTGCCTAATGATTTGAAGACCGTTTCCCCTTATTCTTAAACCTATATGTTTTACTTAAGTTCTCTATACTAAAACGAAACAGTTGTGGAACATTTTAGGGACCAGGGGCCTATATCACGAAGCAGGACTTGTTGAGCTGGATAACTTGTTGGATTTAAGGTAGTCTGGGCTAAATATAAGTGAATGAAGATAAAGTCCATTTAGTCCAGACCACCTTAAATCTGAAAAGTTATCTAGCTAAGCAAGAAACCCTGTGAAACAGGGTTTCTTGCTTAGGGTTTCTAAGCTTTGTGAAACAGACCCCAGATAGCAGTCAAATCTGGAAAATAAAATTGTAGCATCTAGAGATTGAACTCACCTTATTTAGCTCTGCATCAACTTTCTCCTCCTCTTCATGTTCATGCAACAAGAGATCCTTCACCCACAGAAAGAGGCTAATCACAGATTTAGGGCTGGGGATCAGGTTAAAGGGCACAGGAATGGTCCTGCCCTCCTCAAAGTACGAGAACCAAAGCTTAGATCTGGCAAATTTCCACTCCACATCAGCATCACCCTACATTCAGCATCGGTGGAAGAGATGGGTACATGTATGGTTCAAATATTTCTATGCAAACATGAAATAATTGGTGTGCTGAAGATTTATTATAGATTTATTATAAAGGCATTTATTTTGCAGAAAGTGAACTGTATTGAACCAATTACGATATAAAGTTTAAGAAGGCTGTAGTATGGTTTTGAAAATGGCGAAGGTATTAGAACTTCTACATGCTCCATAGACACACTGTCAGTGGTACCTATGGCCAGAGCACCAAGAGACTCTTTTATCTCCAGCCTTAGGCCCTCTATGCTCCTGCTCCATGGCTCATTCTGTCACTCTCCAGGTCTCTTGGATTGACTCCCCTGGCTTCTTTCCAGCGTCACCACTTACTCCCGGCTTCTTCCACTCTTTACCTACTTCCCTCTATATGCTGGTCTCTTGACTCGTTCCTTAGTCTTACACCTGGATTTGCCCAGTGCTGCCCCATGTCTGTCTTTGCCCCTTGCTTTGTTTTTTTACGACCTGTTACCTGTTTAAATTGGTCAGCGTAAGGTGTGCTTTCAGCACTGGCAGGGACCGAACGAGCCCAGAGCCCCCCACCCCCCTAAACTCCCTCAGTACTAGGAAGCGCATGTCCAAACTATCTGTAGCCAAATATACACCCTTGGGTCTGCAGATAATTAAATTTACACAGGATAAATTTACTGTCTGTTTTCTTGTATGTTCAATTTGAAGGTTATTACTGTATGTATAGTAAAATGAAGGGT